AGCATCTGTTTATGTATTAAAGTGCAGTGCAGTGAAGTAAGAATGTGGGGTCAAAAGGGTTAACAATTTCTTGTATTTAATTGATAATCAATAAATATTAATTTTAATTACTGGTTTAAAAACAAATATTGGTTTTTTACTCATACACCTTGTACCTTGTTTACTTTTCCATAGTAGTAGTATATTTGATTGGAGGGTCACTTGCGTTGACATATAATAGTATGTATAGGTTAAATTATAAAATCAAGATATAAACAGAAAAATTCAATAAAAAGCAGTATTTAAATTTAGTTTGTATGAAGTCTTACAGATGGTAGCAGTTGCTATGGTCTAAGATTCGGAATCTTATACCACCCTCCTTGAGGAGTTTGGAATCCTAGACCATGGTTTAAAAAACCAGGTTTTACGGTATATAATTTAATATACTTATTTGTGAATATTTCTTAAATTAAATTTAAATTTCAAAACATGTTTTACATCTCGCTTATAACGGCATGCCGGTGGATGTGCGGGAATACGGTAGTAATAAATTTATTGTATTTATTATCAAAAGTATACAAGAATATCTGTTTTGTAAATGATAAAATTGGATTTAACAGAATATTGTGATTCTAGTGGAATTTTATTTTGCGGCATTCTTTTTAAGCTATAATTATAGAATACATCCATACTAATTAAAATAGATTTATTAACTTTTAAAAAGGGACATTCCGATTTAATAATAAATTTTAAGTCTATATAATACTTTACTAGTAAGCTCTCTGGTTCAGAGAGTTATACCTATAAACTTGGTCAATAAATAATGGATGGGGGTTTGCTTAATAAATCGCTTATTTAGCATAGCAAAAATTTATATTCTGGCACACTTAAAGTTCATAATGAGGTAGCCTTGAAAAACAAGAATATTCTTGTTTTTCAAGGCTACCTCATAGTGAACTTTAAGTGTGCCAGAGTATAAAGTTTTGCTATACTAAATAAGCGAGCTATTAAGCAAACCTGCATCCCATTATTTATTGACCAAGTTTATACTTTAAAGTTAAAGTAGAATTTAGTTTTCTAAATTATATAGATATTAATAATAATTTATTACCGATATTCCAGGCACCAATCGTGGCCAAGATTTGAACACCAAGGTAAATGAAAAATGCTTGTGTACTCAGATATAAACCAACGATGAAATACAAAATCGTCACAAAGATAATAGTCAGTATCGTATTAAAAGCCAACTGTTCAGTAAATATATGTATTTATAATATACAAAAAGATGAATCGATGAATAAAAATGAAAGACTATTGATAAATAATTTTACATTCAATGTGTGATGAATGTAAGCTAAGTTTGAAAACTTATTTGTTTGAATGAGTAAACTCTGTTTTCAATGTAATATTATTTATCAATAGTCACTCATTTTTATTCATCGATTCATCTTTTTGTATATTATAAATACATATAGAAATACTGGTTAACTTGTTTTCAATCTCATATACAAATGTTAAAAATAATAATAAATTCCGTTTCCTCCACATTAAAGCAATATTTTCACATTTATTTCGTTTTCTTGAAACTCATTTTATTTAAACTAACTTGATCATTTTTAAATAATGTTTTGTTGACATTTAGTAAACCTAATTATATAATATTGATAATATATCAAGCATAATAAATAAATGCTTAAACTTTACCTGTATAATAATGGTGGCCAATATATATGGGAACAAAGCGTACGTACGGTTGTGGTGTTCCCTAAAAAGTAAGGCTTCTTCTCCTACTAATGTCTATAATATTAAATTACTTGATATTATAAATTTTCAAATACAGTATCTATTTAAAAATGAACAATGTAAAATATTCTCCAATTTAAATGCAAAAAAATGGTCACAAAATGTAAATGTTATGAGAAATGAATAAACAATTGTAATAAGTTTCAAATGAAATAACGATACTTACAGTGAGTGCGATGGTTGAATGGGATCCCATATTTTTTGTTAATATCGCAATGAGGGCCCCGGTGATATTATCGACGTTGGAGTAGTCGTATCCCTGTCCGTAGTACAGAATCCCAAATAATATTACTAAACACTGCGTGGAAAACAGATTTGCATAATTGAAAAATTTGTATAAATTACAAATAATTGTATATTAATTTTTGAATCATAACCATAATCGTAATGAGATGATCTCGTATCAAACTGGGATTTCGTATGAAAACAATATATGATCGCCATAATATAGTAACCAGTTGTTGCCAATAACCGGCCCTATAGCCCGACCCCAGAGTTTGCATGTTTAAATCAGATATATTATCCACATTATATCCAGAGTTAACGTTATTTGCAGTCCATTCGAGATAATTGTCGCATATTTCCTATATATATATATATATAGTCGCATATATATATATATATAAAGACAATTTAAATATAAATATAAATAACTGGTTGAATGCATATTGAAATATTACATTGACTTTGCTTTTGGTTTGCGCATAATTACTATCCATTATTGCTTTTTTCAGATAAATCATATCAAGTGATTGAAATTTATTAGACATATGAGTAAAACAAACCCAATTCCCGTAAATAATAATCCGATGGATTGTAGGTTCTGGGACAAACCTATAGAATAAATTGAAGTTTTTATTTTTAATTAAATAAATATTATTATAATATTTATATTACTAATCCTTGAGATGAAAAATAATCTTTAACTTCACCTATAAATGCAATGAAATTATTATACATTTATAATAAATTTATACAAAATATGAATACCGATGGACCCCATGAAGGCTACCCTTCCGTCGGCCATAAGTAATAGACTGTCGAAGAGTTGAAAGACTGGAGACGAGGGCTGATGTATAGTACAGATGACAGTCCGTCCCTCCGATGCCATAGTCTTCAGCACTTGTACTATACNCGGCCATAAGTAATAGACTGTCGAAGAGTTGAAAGACTGGAGACGAGGGCTGATGTATAGTACAGATGACAGTCCGTCCCTCCGATGCCATAGTCTTCAGCACTTGTACTATACTTTTGGCCATAAATGAGTCCAAACCAGTGGTCGGCTCATCACTAATGCATTGAAACATGTAATTAGTATATGAACTAAAAGACAATTATATTTTCGTTGTATTTCTCACCAAATCATTAGCGAAGGGTTTGTGAGAACCTCTGAAGCAAAGGACAGTCTTTTCATTTCTCCGCCGGAAATGCCTTTCAATTGTTTGTTGTCTCCAATCCTTGTTTCCGCGCATTTCGTTAAATCAAACTAAAAGTAAACGATTTTTATTAATTTAAAATAATTTAAAATAAATATTTTTTCTAAACCTTTTGAATGACTCGTTGAATGCAATCGATTCTCTCACTTCTACTCAGATTCCTATCCATTCGTAACAATGCCTTCAAATATGAGTTATTTTTTTAATTAACAAATAATTCTATTATTAATAATACATATCATTTCAAATTCAATGATCAATACCTGAAATAATAGGTGTTCTCTCACTGTAAACACCGGTTGAAACAAATCGTGTTGTTGTATATACGAGGAAATGGATGCAATGGTCTGTTGACTGACTGTCTGTCCATTCATGAGTACCACTCCATTGACGGACAGTTGCGATAAATTCCTTGCCGTCAATACATTCAATAGAGTTGTCTTTCCGGAGCCACTGAATCACACAATCATTTAATTGAATATTTTTTTAATAAAAAATAAATAAATAATATGTACTCTTATACCGTACAGTATATTAGAGTAATCGGACAGGGTAGCCTTTTATTAACGATGCCATTTTGATTGTCGTTTATTTGAACACCCTGTATTATTTTTAATTGATTCTTTCACCAAATTATAGAGCAATAGTTAGGGTTTTGTTTGATATATAACATGCCCAGAATATTCTTGTGTGTGATATTTAAAATAATATTTTTCACAAAAGAGTTAAAAAATTTGTGTTTTCATTAAAACTTGAGTATAACTGACATGTACGATTTTAAATATTAATGAAATTCACTTAGCAACTTATTGTAAAGAAGTTTAGATAGAAATTTCAAAATAATCTTTTCTAAATCTTCGTTTATTTTAAGAATATTGATATCAATAATTTCATAATTTGATTTTTAATGTCAAAATTACACTAAATTAACATTATAATTAAATTTTTTCAATTAAATTATTAATTTACAATTTGACTTGCATAAAAATAATTGATTCAAATTAAGTTCAAAAATCTTTATAAAATTTTCATGTTTGATCTGAAACTAAATTTTTAATGAATATTTTTAAAGAATTGTCTATTATAAATTAAATGAAAGAATATTCTGGGCATGTTATATATCAAACAAAACCCTAACTATTCCTCTATAATTTGGTGAAGGAATCAATTCATGTTATATATCAAACAAAACCCTAACTATTGCTCTATAATTTGGTGAAGGAATCGATTAAAAATAATACATGGTGTTCAAATAAACGACAATCAAAATGGCATCGTTAATAAAAGGCTACCCTGTATAATAGTATATATAATATAAAATAGTATAAAATATTCAAATAAAAGGTCCAATAATTTGCAATAAATAAGCAATAATAAATTCGCAATTAGCTAACAACTAAACAAATTAGTACATTTTAGAAATGACTTAACTTATATAATACTTATACATACCGTAACTGTATATATTATATAATAAATGAAACTATAATTTAATTCAAAAATAATTATTATTTTTATGCAAACCTGGAGCCCATTATAGCCAACATGCCTCCAGCTTTAACTCGACCTGATACTATTCATTAAGTCATGTAATTATTTTCAAAATAAATGTATGTTAGACATTATAAATTGTTAATACCGTTCCTTAGGATCTCTTTCGGTGTTTCATTGGTTTGAAAACAATTATAAATAGATTTCTGGGTTTTAGTCGACACCCGGATATTAGTCCACGAAATACACACCGAATGTATGGTCTCTCTCGACATACCATTCCTATTGTCGGCAATTATTTCAGACATTTCTATCATTGTTAGAGTTTAACCCCTTTTCTTAATTTAATCTTAATTCACAATTCAATAATTAAATATTTTTTAAAAATAATTTAATAAAACAAATGACAAACACTTTTGAAATATTTTTATATCTTTTAAAAATTAAAACCCAGTTTATTATAATTGCTGAATAATTCCTATTATTTGTATTTAAGGATTGTTAGAATAGAGGTATGGTTTGATCAAGGTTATTGTATGTTTGATTTTTGTTATTAATTTAATTAATAATCAAGATTTAGATTAGACTAGGTTTATTAGTTGTAAAGTTTGTTTATTTATTATAAAATTAAATTGTACAATTATATAATTTAAATCACAAAAGGTTAGATTAATAGGTTAATAATATTAACTTAATATAATATCAAATATATTATGGATTGAGTTAGTGATTGGTTTACTAGTAATGGCGAGGACTGGTAGGACAAAGGGATCTGATTATTATTTTTGGTCATCAGCAAATTTATCAGCTTTTTAGTGTACAGTTAATAAATTTAAATTAAAATTATTTCATATTTTATTAGATCTTGTATAAATAAATAGGTTCTATGGGAAAATATTGATATTATTATTTGGCAATTCATGTTTTTTGGTTAATTTATATTTAATGCTAGTCATACCAGTAAAACATACTATGGTTTGGGTAATATAGTGCAACTCATAGTGTCTACGTAAGTCTTAGAGCCGCAGTAAGTTAAGGAATATGCAGTCAACTAGACTGACCAAATAGTTTTTACCAAACCTTCATTTTCACTAAACTTGATTTACAAAGTTCTATGACAACTATAAGCTAGCACACAAATCAGCGCAAAAGTAAATAATTCAAAAAGTAGCATTTGTATACACTGTGTAAAACAAATTTTTGGACAATTCAATTTTATATATTATGGTTATAGAAATTGGTTATAATTTAAAATTTGAGTTTAAGGTTCAAAATTGAGTTAATTTGGTTCGAAATTAAGCTAATTTAGTTTAATATTTACTTAATTTGGTTAACAATTAAACTAATTTAGTATCTTAATTTAGTTAACTATTTAATTAATTTAGTTCAAAATTTAGTAAATTTAGTTCACTATTTAGTTAATTTAATTCAGAATTTAGTTAAATTAGTTCACTATTTAGTTAATTTGGTTCAGAATTTAGTTAATTTTGTTCAACATTTAGTTATTTAGTTCATTTATTCAGTGATAAAACTTGTCTAGTATCACATCATTAATACATTCAACATTTACTTCAGAAAATTCCATGCTTTCAAATCACATGCCTTAATCACATGATGTTGTTTGTGAAACCTGGAAAGTGATTACACCTGGTATGTAAATAAAGGGATTAAATGTAGATAAGAGTGAAAATCTTTGCGCTGATTTGTGTGCTAGACTATAAGTGTAAACTGTATATTCATAACAAGAATATGATTTTAAAAATAATTAGCAATTTATTTGCATGAAAAATGTGGCATAGAATTTTGTAAATCAAGTTTAGTGAAAATCAAGTTTTGGTAAAAACTATTTGGTCAGTATAGTTTACTGCATATTCCTTAACTTAGTTTCAGCTTTCAGACTTAAGTATTAGGTTGGTCTCACATTTTAAGGCTAAACAACTCTGCTAAATAATTTACAGATATTTATATTCATATTTAATTATACAATTATATTAATAAAAATTCACAAACAGTATATAAATTTATTTTAAATTATGGTTTATCGTTAACTCATATTTTTACGATTGACTGTTATTTTGAAATAATAATTTATAGGGTCTTGGGTCATTTGACCTACGAGTCATTTGACCTAGAAATATTCAAAATTGCACTTTTACCCTCATGCAACTCAAGGAACAAAAAATAAACATTTTCAAAAAAATTTTTCATAAAGTACGTCTAATTATCTACGTTATTTATGGACGAATTTATTTTCAAACGTTATTTTTAAATTCCTTAACCTAACCTAACCTAAAAATGTTTACATCCATAAATAACGTGTTTGAATTTCTAGGTCAAATGACCGAATGCCAATTTATAGCAATGACTCAATACTCAATATCTTAATAGATGACTAAAATATAAAACAGACTAAGACTCAAACTATTTCTAGAATTATTCACAAAACTTTCCATTACTGTACAATGCACACTTTTTGTGTCTGAATTTATAGCCAAAAATGACTCAAAAATAGTTTTCTTTGTAAGTAAAATAACTAATAATATTCAGCCTTACCTTCCCCTTTGAAATAAACAGTTTAATTGATAACCTCGTGTTTGATTTAAGCCATGCCTCGGCCGACAGGATATCCTGACAGCCCGAGGAGTGGTTGCCCCGAATGGGCCTAAGCATTGCCTGTCATAGGACGGGAGGGGTTGATCGGCAGATCCCGATACTGGTCGCTATCGACGGTATCATCGGTAAGACTCAAGACAGGTAGTAGACGTCTCTACTTAGCCTGTCATTAGTGAGCAGTGCTATTGGCGTCCGATTAGTACACAACATACCGGCGCTTCAAGTAGGCTTTCCCATCGCTCTCAAGCAGTACTTGAAGTCCAACTATTGTCGGGAAGTATTGGACAGTGATCTCAACACCCCTTCAACATCCCATCACTGGTCATACATATTAAGTGAGAGTCCATCGCCGTCTCGACAGTCAATCACTGGACATCTGAAGGCAGCACTCATTCATAACCAGAAGCGCTAAACAATTGATTCAAGAGTTAGGCTATCGTACAAAGCCTTCGAATAACACAACCATTTTATAAAATAATTGTTTTTGTATTTGGACACCTTAAATAATGAAAATTTTATTTTACTAATATTTACTTGTATAAAATATTTTTAACACTTGTGCATGTTAATAGTCTTGATTACTAATATCTACTAAATTAAAAATTTGCATTCAATTCACGAATATATCATTGATACTTAAACT